TTTTTTTAATATATATATATGTGTGCTCAATTTGAAGATATACTAACATGAGTTGTAAAATGTTAATATATTCCTGGGTCTACATAATCACAGTTCATAAGCATTAACAATAAAGCTTGGTAGAAAATCCAGTTTACCACAGAGCCAAGTATATAAACTAGAAGCTGTCATATGTTGACTTCTTTTGTGTACAATAGTCTTATCTCTGCTGAATAATCTGAAGAATTTATCAGTGAAGAGTAGTAAATAGGGTGGATCATGAAGTGCAGCAAAACCTTAACTCTACTAAGCCAATTGAAATTGTCTAGTATATGCAAATCAGATTCTCTGAAGTTATTTGGGGTACTTATGTCCTGCATAAGCCAAGTCACTATGACATTACACACATAGCCAGATTTTTTTTTTTAAGTAGTGGTTATGAGATTACAATTTGCAGGTAAAATATTTATCAAAACCCAAAATGAATAGAAAAACTTGCATCTATCAAAGATTACAGGCAGTCCTTTTTCAGAACTGGCTGCTCTTCTCTCACAGCTTCTCAACCAGCTGAGTGTTTCTTTTAAAAAATAATATCTTATAAAAAGATTCTACAAAGAAACAAGTGTTTCAGACCCACCCTCCCCCAACTGTTGTTTTCCCTTACTGTTTTCTTTTTTACTGGAAAAAAATAATAAAACTTTATCAAATAGGTACTGCATTAGGTAAGCTATAACGTCTGTTGTCTGGGAATTTTCTTCATATTCCCAAACATGTGCAATTTCCCACATGTTTTGTGGGGTTTCTGAGGCTGTAGCTGATAAACTTATTATGAACATACGGTAATGGGCACACAAAAGAAATTTTCCGTAATTAAATACATTATAAAGCATTTTAATAAAATATTTTTTGTAACTTCAGTATAATACATGTTTGCAAAACTAAAAGGGTTTTTAAAAGTGCTAAGTATTAAACAGAAGTTTCTTGAAACCTTAAAGTCCCACAACTCAGATATATAATGGCTTCCCCTGCCCATAAAGTAGGCACACTGATTGGTTGTAAAAAAGACAGTGTCACTTGTCAATTAATCCAGCTTCTTTAATTTTTGTGTAGAAGAATTTCTCCAGTATATTGGCACATTTGTAGTATTCACTCTCGGGGGGGTTGTACTCTCTGCAATTTGTAAAGACTCGCTGCAAGTCTGCCATGAATAATTTCTTAGACACGTAGTACCTATTCTTGAGTCGCTCACTCATTGTTTTGAGATCTGTACAGGAGAAAAATACATTAACAGAGTTTGATTCAAATACTTTTTGTATGCAATATCCCTTTAGACTGATGTGCCATTTAACATGAACTGGCAAAGCTAGGATTTGGAATTCCTAATTGCCGTCATCTAAGGCGTGGTCCCTTCTTTAGCTTCAACAGCAGTTGAGCCCCTGGAACTAAGCAATATTTCACCGTAAGAATGATTTTGTGTAGAGTTTATTTTTTTCTTCTTTAAAAAATTAAAGCATCGTTCTTTTGTGTTCTCATATTTCTCTGAGTTTTCAGTGCGTATTAGATGTCCTTAACTCTTCTCTAACTGCTCTGTGAGGGAAAGCTGCTGTCAGCTCTGCTGGAGGAGGCCTTAGGAGCATATAAACAAAGAATGCAAACATCACAAAACATGTATGTCAACCTAAATCCTCACTTCTGTGCGAACGCAGCAGAGGAGAGCCATCTGTCCATACAACAAGCAGTACTTGCAGCTTTGAAAAAAGATGAAATGTTCCATGCTCTACATATATTTTAGTTACATCTTCAAAGTTTATAGTTACGTATCCCTTTTTAAGAGTCATGTGACAACAGATCTCTCCTGCTTTAAACGCATCATATAAAACCTTTATTTACAGAACATTCCTTAAGAAATGTTTTCCTTTACACTAAAATCAGTCATCCATAAAATACATAAATCATCTCAGTGTTCTCCACACAGTTGCTTTCCCAATAATTCTTATCAGGCATTTAAATATTTTGTCTACATTACAAGTGTCCTAGGAGTGAATACAGGAATAGAAGTAGTGGGAGGTGCGCTGGAAGCCTTGGCTTTTCTCACCTCAGATGCTCTAACAACTATTTTTCTAGCAATGCTTGAGCCAGGCTTCAGCAGCACCTTTGTGAAACCATTACAGAAACAGCTGAACTGGAGAAGACTTACTGCCAACAAGTATTGCAAGGAAAGCAGAGACCAAAGACCTCCAATGCAAAGGAATTAAAATTTAACATTTAAAAATACAGTTGTGAGTATTTTTGGTTTGGTTTGGTTTTTTGGGTTTGTTTTGGTTGGGTTTGGGGTTTTTTAAGGGAGATTTGACTTTGGTAAAATAGAGAAAAACACTGACAAATTGACATGAGGGGATTATTTAAGAAGAGTTTGATGGATGCTCTCAAATACCTCTTCCAGTGCTCTCAAATACCTCTTCCAATGATATATAACTTGCCATTTACCAGTGTTGCACAATATTTTGCAAAAGCAAAGGCTCATTCAGCTCCCATTCAGTCTGAAATTTGCATGCCTACATCTAAACTAGATAGAATCATAGAATCGTTTAGGTTGGAAAAGACCTTTAAGATCATCCAGTCCAACCATTAACCTACACTACCAAGTCTACTCTAGGCCAATCAAGGGTAGACTAGACTAAACCATGTCCCCAAGTGCCACATCTACCCGTTTTTTGAACACTCTACCCGTTTTTTGAACACAATATCCATAGTCTAATTACAGTATCCAACTGAGAAGGCTGTTCCACTCACCCTATAGCAAACATTGCCTGGCTAGTCAGTTAAAACATTCTCCTCTAACTATAGTGAAAGTTTGGCTCCACCTGTCACTCAGCCATACACCTTTTGTATTGCAGATGAAAAGGGAAAAAACCAAACAGTATTTCTTGAAAATAAGCAGCTGAAAGAGCACTTAAAAAGAGGGGAAAAAAGTGTTTATACATGAGAACTGACCTTGGGAGGTGGTCAAAAAAACCCTACAGCCGTACCTCTGAAATATTGTACAATTTAGTCTGTATGCAAACATAAAGACAAATGTTATGTCTTGTACGTGATAGCGTAAGAAAAGACAAGGCTGTTTCTTTTTAATTGAAATTAAGTCTGAGCGATTTTTGTACAGTATCAGCACACTGGCAGTGAGAGCAGAAAGCAAGCAGAAGTTGATCATGAATCAAAACGTGGTTTAGTTATGCTGGGTTCCTTAGCTGAAAAAACAAAGCAAAACTAAACCAAAGACCTCAGCTTAATCCTAAAATGAGAGCTGCTGCTCCCACCTCCAATGTAATGCATCTGAACAAGGATAGAAAACATTCCTACTTTGGGTTTGCCAATCCAGGCAGTAAAGTTCTTTGTAACCGCTGTTCAGATTAAACAGACATCTAGATCTAGCCTTTGCTCAGAAAAGCAGATGGAGGAGAAAACTCTGCCACGGGAGGGTGTCAACATTCTTTGTCTTCATTGCTAGAAAATACATTTGTGTCAGGGATACAGGGAGCCGGATGCTGTTTTATAAAGTACACATATATTTGCTATTTGGAAATTATAAGTTGAATATAAAAAATCATAACGCCAAATTGGTATACACAGGCTAGGAGCCTATGCAAAGCAACATGAACAAACACTTTCATTCTCTGAGAAACTGATTGATAGTAGCCTGCAATGAACTTGTATTTCATTCTCTAATAACATTAAAAGGTACAGAAACTATAATCAGAAAGATGGAGGTGAGTATTGCATAAACAACTAAGGAAGAGCAGGATTCAGTTTTAAATCTGCTGCAATACAAATCAAAACGAGCATCTGTTTAGAACATCCTGAATCATCATTGAAATTATGTGACCCAGCAGCCAAAAGCAAAGAAAAATGTTATTAGCAATGGTGTACTTCCCTTTGCAAGTAATGCTGCATAAACAATAGCTGCATGATTTAAAAATAAGAATAAATAAATAAATAAACGACCTCAGACAACTTTGACAGATCTAAAATACAAAGATAAAAGTTATCTTACAATCAGTTGCATGAAGCATTTTCCTAAACTTAAATTGGAGCAAACTGTTAAGATATAATTAGAAAACCCTGGTACTTTTGGAAAGGTTTTCTCTATGTGATTTAGAAAGCTTAAATCTGTTTTTCAAAGCAATTTAAATGCTCAGGTGTTCCTGAAAGTTTGCCTTGAGATTTTTTAAACGTACCAGCAGGATCTGCAATGACCAGTTACCACACACACACGAACATATTCATACAACTCACACAAACCAGCTCAGTCCTGAAAGTTTCTAGCTGACTGCACCATTTAAGAGCTTGCTAGGGCTCTCTAGGGCATACTAAGATTTCACATGTGTACACTATAGATGCTTCAAAGGTCACAAAGCAGTCATAAATTTCAAATGACAGCACTGCACTCTTGGCACTTCAGAGCTGCAAGCTATTCAGCTGCAAGTAATATATGTCTTTTAACATAAAACAATCAGATTACAATTTATCTGCTATGTCTCCGGCTATAAAGATTTTTAAACTCTATACTTAAAAAATGTTAATGGCATTACCCATGGGAAACCTTATAACTTCATAATATCCAGGAGCTTCTGTTCTCTTCACAGGTTCCATGAAGGGCCAAGCGCTTTGATGGCTCTTTGGTAAAGAAAAAAGTAAGGTATCTAATATGGAAACTCTATATTGGAAATCATTTAAAAATCTTTACAGAAGGTAAACTAGAACTAGCACTCACCTTCACCTGCTGCAGAATGGTTTTTAACGTGCTGTAAAGTTGATCAGGATCCTTGGGCTCCTTACTTGAAAGAAAATAGGATAAATATAGATTACATACAGAATACAAAAAGATTAGCTTGAATCCCTTATCTTCATTCCTATGACGTGCATCTCACCTAAAAGCAACTTCAAAGTTTCAAGCATTTTATGGAAGAAATTAAAAAAAAAAAAACAAAACAAAACAACAACAACAACTTCCCCCCCCCCCAAAAAAAACCCCAAACAAACCAAACCACCAAACCCACTTAAGAACTCACCCTTGGAGATTATTTATCTCTTTCCAATGGATGGAAGGAAATATCAAATGACATTGTTTAAAGACTTTTCTCAAAGGAATCTCCCAACTGCTTCATCATCTTACTTTGTGCAGCACTTACCCTCTTTCTTTTCCGCTTGGTTTCCAGCCAGTCTCTCCTGCACACCAACAACATGAGAGATTACATGAGAATTACAGTAGGTCAAAACATTAACTGAGTTATAGCAACTCTAAAAAGATAAGCCATTTCAGCACTGCTGCAGTAAAATGGGTTTATTTTAATAAAAGCTACTCCTAATAAATAACACAACCATCTAGCCTGCAGCCCCATTCAATTTCCTACATGCCTCTTCCTCCAGACTGCTGAAAAGATTCTAAAATATTCCTACATGAAAGACACATTTTTTCATTAACTCAGTACACATTTTACCACAACCTCTGTGAAGAATAATGATGTCAAAGTTACCCAATTTGATTCCCTAGGGACAGAGAATAAATTGCAGAAAAGCAGTTGAAAAAAATCCCCCAAAAGATGATACTTAAATGTTCTAATTCTCTTTTGTCCTGTAAGTCCACATTTAGCACAGAACAGGAGTGCAGTGCATAACAGTGGTGCCAAAGGGAAATTCTTGACTGCACTGCGATACAAATCAAAGAGGGGTCACATATAAATAAAATTGCACACAAGTACATAAAAGAGCATCAGCCTGGGATGCCTTGGAGAAGTCTCAAAGACAGCAATTGTACTGGAAACACAACAATCTTCATAGAAATCAAATCCACAGACCAAAACAATTCCATTTTAATCAAACAGAAACACATGACTACATTAGTATTTCTAGTCTTGGACCTTTCTTGGCCTGTTCTGCTTCTGTTCTACATTAAAAGAGTTTGATACATACTAATTCCAGGAATGCTTTCTATAGGAATCTGCCGTACTCCATCTTTGAAGCAAGAAAGACCAGGATAAACTTTTCGTATCTGAGCTTGTTTCCTTTCTATGAGCTTTTTAATGATCTGTAATAAAGCAGCAGAGAAAGCATAAAAATAATTGATTTGCTCAAAAGTAACCCAGAGGATTAATGCAGAACTGTGACGAACAGAAACCCTCTTGCTTCCTAATCTTATGGTCCTTACAGATCCCCTGAAGCTGGTAACAGGGGTGAGCTACCTGGCCAAACACCGATTCTGCAGATGGGGCTACCAAGTCTCTCAGCTGCCTCTTTAGGCACAAATCAGGAAGAGAAGGGGTCATTGCTTGCTGTATTGATCACAAGCTGCACAGCTCCTGGGAAGGTGCCAGCAGAGGTAAGGAAGGAAATTTCCTGGAAGCAGATTTGGGAACTGGCTATAATTCTAACAGCTGGTGCTTCTGAACTGCTTCAGCACAGCCTGGTCAGAAATTTCAAGGCACATATTGAATGCGCGTATTTCAATGCACATATATGTTCATATTCCAAAATTTTAGCAATACCTGTTCACTTCAAAGTCTCCATTTAACTGTAGGAGTTGCTTAGATACCAGTCAGAGATACTCTTACTGAAGATTTTCGCTTGAGGAAGTCAGAATGACGCCACTCTTTGAAACCAACATTCTACTCTGCTTGTAAATGCCAGAATAAGTTTTCCCAATTCCGGGGTACATTCTGTTCTGCTTTGCAATCTCATTACCTCAATTCTAAGTAATTTGCTTTGGTGCTTTTGATAAACACTTAGACGCTTACCTAAACTTTGTGCATCCTGAATATGCCACTTTCAAAATGGCTTACTTCATAACTGGGAGTAAACAAATGTGCACCCATTCAGACCACCAGTTTGAGAGACTATTCTCTTTGGAAATAATGAAGATGGGCATATTTGTATTTTTAAGGACCTTCACTCCCCCACACATAGTATTTTCTCTCAATAAAGAGGAAAAGAAAAAAAAAAATCAGACTTTCAATAGAGGTTACAAATGTTAAGAGAAATGCAGCATACAACAGCACCACAGTCAGATTCCAGCGTAACATCAAATTACTTTCAAACTAATTGTTAAATCCACCTTAAACCCTTCTTATATTGTAGGAGCTAGTGGCTCTTCCTGATTAAAACAAGCTGTTCAATCAGTAACACTGATTACACACAAGTCAGCAGGTCACAAAGCTTTGCATAAAAGGATTTTTCATATTTTTCAGAATGACTGTAAATGAGCTACAAATCAGGCAGTGCAAACACAAATGGTGGTCTGTGACCGGTACCCGGTGTCAGGTGATGTGGTCTTAGCAGCCATAGGCTTACACTCCAATTCTTTAAATAAAAGCTTAGGTCATTAGAACATTCAAAATTCTACTTATGTCCGGGTATCATCTTCATTGCTTTTGATCTGAGCAGACAAGCGAGCATTCTTCATAAAGCTGCAGGCTGTGAGGGCTATTTCTAAATTTCCTTGGAACAGGGAGAATAAAAAGCCCGATCTGTGTTTTGACTGTCACACAGGCAATCCTAAGATGCACTTCCAAAGGTGTATATATTTATTCTCAGAGAACATACAACAGCATAGATCAGTGTATAATAGCATCTTGCTTTCTAATCATGGTAGACATGAGATGTCTGGAGGACCAAGGCACTTTATCTCCAAGTGGAGTGTCTCCAAGCACTTTGGAACAATATGGACAGCCCACCAAATGAGAGAGTGAAGACTGCAAAATAACATATGCTAATAAAGCAGTCCCAGAGTCAAAATCTTAAAAACTAACTTAAGATTTTGGAAGTGACATGTTGATGGTTTGGGCCTAGAACTGTATTACTGCAGTTAGGCGTGCCTGAGATGTAACAGGCTACAAGAGACATGTCCACTACCCGCCCACCCTGACAACATCCCATTCCTCAGGGGAAGGTGATATGTCCAGCAGGAGACCAGGATGTGAACAGTAACCCAAGCAAGCAGAAATGAGAGTGAAAAAATTATGATCTATGTCGTATGGACATATGAAAACTTTCCCAATGAGTGAAGTTAAAGAAACCTTGCCAACTAAATGTATAACACTCAGATACTGTCTTTCTTTCTACAAGCATGGGCCAAATAGTTCCACTGGAAGGAATATAATTGTTCCATAAAGAAGCATTTTAACAAAAAGTCATGAGATTTGACCAACCTTGAAAGAACAAATTATCCTTGTCATTTATATTTCTTTAAATACCCAGGAAGGTATTTAAACACAACTGGAAACATCTTAATTATTTGGCTAATAAACTGCCTTATTATATGGAATATTCTTATGGACTAAATAAAGAACATCCCACATAAACTCCAAAGAGGGACAGCCTGGAATTTAAGACAGCCCACCCTTGATTTGTATATTAAAATAGTGGCAGAAAAAATAATCCTCTTTCTTTCAAGTAAAATACAGGACATGCAGTACAAACACCCCATTCAAAAGTCTCTCTAATGAACACTACTGTCATGAGGGAAGGAATTGACAAAGCTGTAGAACAAATCATTCTCACAAGATTTTGCTTAGTTATCATCTGTGACAAAATTTAGCTATGAAATATTCCTCAAAAATATCACTACTTTACAACACTTCTGTTATTGTAAAGTTAGTAAGGTAGAATTTAATGCTTCAACTAAAAATTATGGCACTGGGACTTGAATGAAAGAATTATTCTAACTAATAAAAATACATATTCCAATGTTTTAAGCACCAAAGCAAAGAAGAGAGCTAACCTGGCACTGACTGAATTGTTTCTAAACATCTGAATAGATTATAACGTTCAGTGTTTCATTTCAGCCTTTACCTCTTTTTGCTTTTTAATAATGACAGAAAATTCCGTGTAGGGGATCCTTGGATTTAATTCACATCCCATTAATGTGGCACCCTCATAATCCTTGATGTAGCCAACATATTTTGCTTTTGGTACTTTAATATCTTTGGAGAAACCCTGAAGAAGAAAAAAAAGTCAAGCTGTCATGATGCCATTTTCCTTTGACATTTGTTTTAGTGGAAATGCTATGATGATTTAGATCCAAATTCATCATAATGTTAAAATACAGACAATACAACAGAAACAGTTACAGACCGTGATTCATGGGTTGCAAACACCTTCTCATGGGAGTCACTTGATACAAGAATAGTTAATTGCTTATATGTATAGGAAAAGAACGGAGATAGGGGAGATAGGGGAGATAAAGAGATGAAAGAAAAGATTTTTACTGTGGAAAAATTTCCTGGATTTTTTCAAAAATTTGTTATTTTAATATTAAAGGATGCCAGTCCTGTAGTCATTAGTCAAGGCAAGTTGCTGTTGAAGTCAATGAGATGACAGGAATTTTATAGCCAGAAAAAACAACATGTGGGTTTTTTTAACTTTTGTATTTCAAGTGAAAAAATAAGATAATAAATCTTATTAAAATTTCCGAAGTTATCCTACAGTCTTCATACAGTTCAAAAGTTAATTGAAAAACAAACCCGCAAAAGAATTAACCAAGACTATAAAAAGCAGTGTAGGACTCTCACTTTGGCTGCATTTTATTCTCCTGTTACAGTGGTATCTATGAAACTGCAGTAAAAATCATTAACCCAATCAGGTCTTCTGCCTCACAAATTACCATCAAAGGCTTCAGACTTACACAGAGACTGAGCACCTTCAAACTGGGGAAGGGGCATTTCAGACGTGAAAAGGGTCTGTCTGCACAGATCTGACAGCAGTATCACAAGCCCAGCTTTTATTAATTTTGAATGTGTGAAGAGCAAATTGTATCAGTTTTATATACAGAATCATAGAACAGCTGAGGTTGGAAGGGACTTAAGGAGGTCATCTAGCCCCATCCCTGCTCAGAGCAGGTCTCATCAGATCTGGATGCTCAAGGCCATGTCCAGTCTTGAAGACTGCCAAGGACAGAGATTCCACAACCTCTCCGGGCAACACTTTCCAGTATTTCACCACCTGTCCTGTGAGGACAGGAAGAAAAAAAAAAAAAAAAGTTCCTTCTATCTACTTGCAATTTCCCATGATCCAACTTGCATCCATTGCCTCCAGTCCTGTCGCTGTACATCTTAGAAACAGACTCCATCTTCACTCTATCATCTGACCAGATAGTTGACACCTGTTTAATCTATCAAATCTATCTGACAGATCAGACATCACAAACTTTCCTGAACTTGAACCTCATGTTTCAAATCAGGAGGAGCTGTGAGCACAGGTCAGGTAAGTTCTAGTCTGCCGCAGGTATGTCTGGTCCTTCTTTACACTTCTTATAGAATCAGTGAAGGAATTCAATGAACGAAGCAGCAGCCAACCCATATTTGACTGGTTTTTAGACTTGACAAATTATAGGCTATACCATACACCTATATTCAGATGATTCCATTGAAGTAAAATGCATTATAAGCCAATATCATTACACAAGATGAACACAGAGCACATCTACATTCTGTAGATAAAATATACACATAAAATTGTACTATGCATTTTATCCAACTACTTTGTCACATCTAGTTGTTTAGTTCATCACTGCTAGATGTTATGTTCTTGCACCAAGTAATTTCTTACATTGACTTACTTGTTTTTTGAAGTAGCCAATAGCATATTCATCTGCATACGTGAGAAAGTTGAGAATGTTGTGTTTGATGTGGTACTCCTTCAGATGGTTCATTAGGTGAGTCCCATAACCCTGTGTGAAAAGGACGAGGAAAAAGCCGTTACAAAGCCTTTGGGGACTGCACATATCGGAAACTGTGGACTGAGGTTTACTACAGACTTTTTCAAAATGCAGTCTTTCCTCTAGATGCTGTTTTAACTTGGTGAGGTGTACTTAAGATCAAACTGGTTTCAGCCTTATAAGGGTATCTTTGTGACCCAACAGGGAACACAAAATATCACAGCTTCTAGTATCTGATTCACTTGTAATCTAAAAGAGACAAAACCCTAGACTCTCTCTAGGGGTAAAGCATAGCTCTGAAGAGGTACATTGTCCTGGAAGTTGTAATTCAAGGTGCACACAATATTTTTTTCCTTTTAAGTTAGATATCAACTATTAATAGTCACATATCTCACCAATAACAAAACCACATATATGGTAATAGTAGGGCACCTTTCTTGGCCATATCAGTTCAAAACCGCAAAGCAGTAGGAATACCAAAATGACTCCTCCTAGAGGAACACATTCTGGGAAGAGATCTCTGGTTTACTGTGTTCTATGCACTTGTAGCAGAAACAGCCTCTGCCTCAAAGGATTTATAATCTGAACTTATCATAGGGCATAAAAGGGAATAATGAAACAGTTATTACCATAATAAGCAGCAGAAAATTATTGAGTCCACAATCAAATAAATAGCTATGCCTCCTGACTGCACACAGGAATAATTTCCATTTTCATTCAATCCCAAAGCAAACAAAAGGTTCCATTTATTCACATTTCCAAGTAAGCTATAGGTCTTCCCCTTCTGCTGTGAGATGAATAAATGTAGAACAGACAGGAAAGCCCATAATAATGTGTTGTTCCTGCATATGGTCCGATTTTAACATCATGGAGACTAACTGGACACTTACAGAAACATGCATAGAATCATTTTGGGTACTCTGTTCTTGAAAACTGAGGAAATTTTTACTTACACACATAAGCCAGAAAAATAAACTGGAAAGTATATACTTCTGATTTAATTCACAATTTAACAGCCCTAATAGCCAGATAAAATCAAGTTAGGTAAGTGCTGAAGCTCAATACAAAAAAAATTTAGTAGTGACATCTTTTCTTTAAATCCTACTAATCTAGGTAGAAAATTTGTGCATTAATCCTTCCTTTCCAGCTAGTGTTTGGAGCATCTGTTATTCAGACCTCATATTCGAAACTGAGACCTCATGTGTGTAAATATCAGTACTTCTGAATTTGAAGAAGCTCTTAAAGCCATGGGTTCACTTGTTAAAGTGGCACACATGCATGGCATCAAATACAAAGAAGTGATTTGACAACTGACAACATGTTAAGTGGTACAGCATTTCTTAGAACTCAGAAGTGCTCAAAACAATGAAGAGACTTTCTAATTGCAAATCTGTGTTCTCAAATTCTTTGAGGAGGACAAAAACTCTGAACCAACATTTTTAATGAAAAATGTTTTCTTTAAATGCAAGCTAGCAGTACCTGAGCTAGCCAAGCTCCTTACTTCCCTTCTTATCAGCAGTGTGAAAGGAACAGCGTATGAGAGACTGACATTTTATTTACAACTGAAACATTGCAATTCATTCCAGTAATTCTAAAGCATCTAATTTCTGGGGGGAAAAAAAAAAAAAAAGGAAACTTTGTGTCTCAAAGAAATTCCAGCAATTACGATGATGATTACTTCAAATATTTTCTGCTAACCTATTGTTTTATAACCTTCACAGGATTTATTAATTCTCACAAACACTTGCCAAAGTCTAACAATCCTAAAAGGAAAATAAGCCATGTACAGTAAAATTTAAAATAATTTTGTAACATGGGATCAAACGATCTCAAAAACAATCCAACTTTTAAATATCACATATAAACAGTAACCGTATTTCTTACTCCAGCCTCAAATTGAATTAAAATAGGAATTTATTTTTCCCAAGAGTGGGCAGTTCACCCATGTGTGAACATTTAGTTTTCCTCAGTTACCTGCTGGGAGGGGACACCTTAGTCAGATAGGAATGTGGGAAGGCAAATTTTCAGAAATAGTCAACTGATACAGTGAGACACCCAGAGGGTAGCAGAAGAAACTGTGCGCTATATGTGCATATGCAACCTTGGAGGCCCTCTGATGGGTCAGATTTCTTTGCTCTATTATATTCTGAAAGGTTATTCCTAGAGAATCGCAACACACCTTTGGCAGCCTAACTTGTGTAGTGCAGTTGGTTGTTTTAGTAGAATGAAAACACCTTTTATGAATTAGTCAAGCTTAGAATACATACAACTTAAGCATATTACATTATTGTTTGCATTTGCTAAAACACTTTGGATAGTTTTATGGCAGGCCAGTGCTAAGTGCAGAGGAATGTTCCTCTCTAACACCACAGTTGAATAAAATAAAATATAACCCAAGTACTAACAGCTGTCACAGGCTTTCAATCCCACTTTGTTACCCTTCCACACCCAGAGCTCTTCCCTTCAAAACAGGGCACACTATTTCTGCATGTTCAACTGCTACAAACTCTGAATTAACCCACATCTCAGCTCTAACAGTTTCTACTGAAAAACATAAAGCTACAGCACCATCTAAAGGCAAAATCCTGAATCAAATGGTCATAGTTAGATCTACCTGTAGTCCCCAGGAAAGCGGGAGGAATCTCCTGTGTTCATAGCGCTCCATATTCTTTCAACACAGCCGCTAATTCTCAACACTCAGAGAACGTTTTGTGAAATCAACTCAAAAAAGAGTGTATAGAATAGACCGTGTGCTTATTTTGAGATGCAAAACCATACCTAATTCTTTTGATATATCTCATTTTGACTGAAGTCATGTAACACCACAAAGTGATTAAACGCAAATTACCATCACACGCAAGCAATACTTATTTCAGTCAACCATGAGGTGTTACACTACACAGAGAGGCAACTGCTGAAGTCAGATGAGTGAATAGTCTAAGAATGGGAGACTACGGGCCACTATTGTTGTTGAGAAAGATTGTATTTATTTAATTAATTACAAGTAATCCTACTATTATGCTGATGATTCTAAATTTGCACATTTGTTTAGTTTTTGTGTATTATATTCAGAATCACTGTATCTTTCAAACTCTATTTGTTTGGGAACTGAGCAATATATTCAGTGTGACTAACAAAATTAGGAGCATATGTGGGAGTGAATAGGACTCAAATACCTTTAATAAACCCTAGTAGAGAATTATTTTTACCTTGACTTGCTCATTGGAAGTCACAGCGCAGAAAACAATCTCCGTAAATCCTTGGGAGGGGAACATCCGGAAGCAGATACCACCAATAACACGACCATCTTTTATTAATGCAAGGGTCTTGTGTTTCCTGAGTGGACAAAAATAACAGCCACTTTAATTCATGCACATAGTACATAAAGTGCCATTACCTTCCTTTTTTCAGAAACTTGATTCACTTCTTTCCATGATGCTAATGCAACTGTATATGCCTCTGTTAAGTTAGTTGCTCAATTCTACAGAAGAGTTGCTATTTTAACACAATGCTTTGAATTTACCGTAAAATTCATCATTCACGCTGCAAGGTCCTGGCCTTGCCAAGTACTCCTAGATACTATGGCAATACCCAATAAATAAATTGCTTTCATTGAATCTATTGCTGACAGTTATACCGTTGCACAGTTCTCAGGAAGATTTTACCCTGACTAAATTAGAAATTAATGGAATTACAGGACAGCAAGACCTTTCTAAGGGATTCCTGTTTCCTTGCATGCACTCTCTATAGCTAAGCTATCAGTTTCAAATGCAGCTGATGAAGCAAGAAATGATATTTCTTATTTCTAATCACCCACTCCTAGTGGAATCAAGACCAGAATAAATATCCATTCCTGTTGCACTTACATTTACTGCCAGGAAAGACATAACGAGGTGCAATCTGAACTCTTGTGTCAAGGATTAAGAATTTTAGTGTAATCCTCAAGGTCTGGAAAGATTCACACTGCACCTATTCTCTGGATAATTCAGTGCACGGTATCATATAAATTGTATAAACAATAAAGTAAATTTACAGAAGATATCTTTCTGGGGGGAAAGGTTGGTGCCAAAAATGAGCCCCTGACAAAAAAAGGTAGTCTGAAGAGTAGTTATATTTTATGTGCCACTGTTGAAGGAGATTTTATACATTTTATATATTCTTTCCCTTGTGCTTATTTTGGTGCTTTTTATTTGTGGAGTGACAGCAGCAATGCAGTAGCTTGAGCTTTTAATTTTGTTTACTCATGTTTGAGTTGTTTAAGCAACAAGATTCAGTAAGGATGGCCATTTTGGAAATAAGAACATTAAAGGCAATAATAACTAAGGTAATAGCTGAAAGAAATTTGGAAAGAGAACTGTTGGACTCCAGTATCTCACACTTGACGTAGGTTTCTGTGTACCCACTACTCAGTATAGGTCTCCACTGTGCATCCCTGGAGATTCATGGCAGACGCTGGGGTACTCTGAGCTGTCCAGGCGACGTGCTTCACTTCCTTTGGGTCAACTGTTTGCCTCAGGCACATGAAGGAAGGCATTTTCTTGCCGTAGCAATATCCATACCTCTTTCTCAAGCACAGACCGCTCTCCAGATAGGTATCTATGCTGAAGAGCACTTAAACTACCAGCAGTTCCTCTCAGCCTACTAGAAGAGTCTTTCCCAATAAGAAATATGGGAGAAGGCTATGACTCAACACCACTACGTCAGAATTTTGCTTTGATGTTTGGTTATAAAGGAACCTGGCTTCATCAACCAGTAGCCTCTGCTTGAGATCACAGTGATGCTAAGGCTCCTAAACTCAGACAAGATCCCGGTGCTGCCTCACTCTCCCATCCAAGCAGTGCTTACCCCCACATAAGAGAGGTAAAAGAGCCTGGACTGGTGCTGGCCCTCAGGAGACAAGTGCTGTTCCCCTCTGAAGAAGGAACCCAGAAGAAGTCCCCAAGATCAGTCTCCTGTGCCTGGAGACCGAAGTCCTGTCCAACAGTCCCCAGCACTGGGCTGTTTTTGCTTCAGGGTTAGCACGGACCCAGCAGCAGCAGTGTTTGCTGGCACCGGCGAGTATTGCCGAGGGAACGCTAGTGAGCTTAAAAGCAGAGGAAATAGTTCCAGAAATGTTCTCATAACCGCTGCAGCTACAATACCAGGCACAAAGACAGAGGCTGATACCAGCGGTGAAGAAAGGCTCTCCCACAAACCAGGCTGCGTAGCTGACTGCGATCAGCTCAGTCAGAGCTCCCCAAGGTCGCTGCTGACACACAACAGTGAGCCCACAGGCGTCCTCCACTGCGAAGTGCTGCAGTCAGTACAGCAAACCCCAAGGCTGTCTTTGGGCATGGATCGTTCAGAGGCAGAAATTTTGCTTCCATACTGGTTGAAAGGAAGCAGATTCTGCAGGAAACACAATGGTGGAAAAGTGGACACTTCTGAGGAGTGGACACTTCATGCTTGAGCAGCTGAGGCAAAATTCATTCAGGACACTAGGGTAGGTGGAGGACCCTGTGCAACCTGTGGATGCTCCTACAGCCAGTGTGTCTCTTTTCAAGTGCCTGTGGTGTAGAGTTGCACCCAAAGCAAGACAGGAAACTTGCACGGAAAAAGAGAAAAGCAACATGCTTGGGTGAGGACTGATTTCTCCCATAAGTTCTTCTCATTGAAAAACTTCAGTCTCTGCTGCCATTTGGTTCATGATCTCCAAAGACAGAGGATGGAGCAGCCTGCAAGTTAGCATGGGCCTGAAAACCACTAATAAGCACCATAATTACTTTCTGACTTTCAGTTCTAACATTCAAAAGTACAAGATAGGTAGGAGCCTTCCCTGCAGGCCCATATGCCTATATTGGGTTTGTGTGGCAAGGTTTTGGTAGCAGGGGGGCTACAGGGGTGGATTCTGCAAGAAGCTGCTAGAAGCTTCCCCCGTGTCCAATAGTGCCAATGCCAGCCAGCTCCAAGATGGACCCGCCACTGGCCAAGGCTGAGCCCATCAGCAACAGTGGTAGCACCTCTGGGATAACATATTTAAGAAGGGGAAACGAAAAAAAATAGGTCTAGGACACAAGCTGCAGCTGGAGTGAGAATACGTGAGAAGAACGACTCTGCAGACACCAAGGTCGGTGAAGAAGGAGGGGGAGGAGGTGCTCCAGGCACCAGAGCAGAGATTCCCCTGCAGCCCGTGGTGCAGACCATGGTGAGGCAGGCTGTGCCCCTGCAGCCCATGGAGGTCCATGGTGGAGCAAATATCCACCTGCAGCCCAGGGAGGACCCCACGCCGGAGCAGGTGGATGTGCCCAAAGGAGTCTGTGACCCCGTGGGAAGCCCACGCTGGAGCAGGCTCCTGGCAGGACCTGTGGACCCATGGAGAGAGGAGCCCATGCTGGAGCAGGTTTGCTGGCAGGACTTGTGACCCCATGGGGGACCCAGGCTGGAGCAGCCTGCTCCTGAAGGACTGCACCCCTTGGAAGGGACCAACGCTGGAGCAGTTTGTGAAGAACTGTAGCCTGTGGGAAGGACCCAAGTTGGAGAAGTTGGTGGAGGACTGTCTCCCGTGGGAGGGACGCCATGCTGGAGCAGGGGAAGAGTGTGAGAATTCTTCCCCTGAGGAGGAAGGAGAGGCAGTGACGACAACTGATGAACTGACCACAACCCCCATTCCCCGTCCCCCTGCGATGCTCAGGGGGAGGAGGCAGAGAATTCGGGAGTGAAGTTGAGCCCAGGAAGAAGGGAGGGGTGGGGGGAAGGTGTTTTAAGATTTGGTTTTATTTCTCATTACCCTACTCTGATTTGATTGGTAATAAATTAAACTAACTTCCCCAAGTAGAGTCTGCTTTGCCCGTGACAGTACTGGGTGAGTGATCTCCCTGTCCTCATCTCAGCCCATGAGCCTTTCGTTATATTTTCTCTCCCCTGTCCAGCTGAGGAGGGGGGAGTGATAGAGCGGCTTTGGTGGGCACCTGGCATCCAGCCAGGGTCAACCCACCACAGTCCGACAACAAGAAGCCACTTGTCATTACTACAGCCACCGGGATAGTATTTGGGTACAAACCAATTAGATTGGCCAGGAGTTGTGGGGGCTTGAAAAGATGAGAAAAGGGTAGCACAGGCAGAGCTGCCCTCCACGCCACTCAGCTGCCCTCTTCCTACACTGCTGCCTGCAACCAGCACCAGGCTCTCTCCATCCCACCTGCCAAACCCCCCTCCAGCAGTACTCACGGATCAAAAACCAAGCGTGTGATGTACTCCTTCGGCATTCGAGGCAGCTGATGGGAGAACACGTTCTGCAAACCGACAAGCCACATCATGATCTTCTTGTTGGGCTTCTGGTTCAGGGAGTTGCCGACCACGTGGAATTCGATCACCCCCCTGCGTTCCTCCAGCCTCGCCGCCTCATCCCGGGCTGAGTGCGCTGAGAGGAAGTTGGTCTGTATCGCACAAAAGAGGAATAAAAACACGTTTTGGAGATTTCACATCCTCTAACAGAACAGCCTTAATGAACAAACAAATGAAACCCCCTCTTTTTTCCAAGCCATCTTTTTACAAAAGTAGAGCTGCCAATGATTACCTTTTTTTAGCAGAAGTGACACCATCAAATAAGGTGGATATAAGTGTACTACAGGGTACAAAGGCTTATTCAAACTTCTTTTGGTAAAGATCAGGTAACAACAACGACTATGACTCAACAAGTTCCAAAATCTCTTGAGGGACAGCACTCATCCAGTCAAAGCCTATGCCACTAAATCTTCATATTTTCTTTAGTCTAGCCAGCTTGGACAAAAGTAGTGGATTCGCCTACGCATACTGCAAATCACATATTTTAATGGCAGTACAGGCAAAGTCATATTTTTTCATTTTAGTAATGCTTTCCACTATCTATGCCACTATCGTAAGAGCCTAAAAAGAACATTTTAATTCCTACTGATTTTGCTGTTACATATCTAGCAATTGCATCCACATATTTGAATGGAGATGATATTAATACAGACAATTTATTTAACTTTTTTTTTCTAAGATCATTTTACAATGCCAAAACATCTCTGTATGCACATACTGTTTACTTTTCAGAACAAAGTTTGGCTGCTGGGTTTCTAGTCCCTGCCAGCCCCAACAGCCAGACTGGCACAGCATTTGTAATATGCAGAGCCATCAGTCACAGTATATAGTTTGAGTAAGAAACGTAGGTGGTTCCAAATCTTCAGCAGTCTCTAGCTAAACCTTGGCAAACAAGAGCTGCTGGCAAAACATAGCCTGGCAAAGGGAACAGAAGGAGGAAAAGCCAGCCAAAAAAAAAAAAAAAAAAAGTGTGCAATTCTGTACACAGCACAATTCTGCAATTCTGTTTGTTTTTCTCTTCTAGCAGAAAAAAAGAGCAACTGTGGAAGACATAGCAAATAACTGATTAGATCAGCCCTTCTTCACTAGGCAGAGGTTTTAACTTTGGATCTTTCATTCTGCTGCAATACTTGAACCCCATTTACCTTGTCTTATGAGCTACATCTATGATTAACAATAAAAAGCATACTCTGGAACTCTTCTGTAACAAAAGTACCTTGCAAAATAACCTGGGATCTACTTTTTTACTATCACTAGTTTCCAAGTCTCTTTGCAAACATACACAATGCATTAAAAAAAATTTTAGAACTGTTCTTCATGATAATGATGCGTTTCATCAATATTTTTTGCTCACCTAATCATACTCTTTGAAAGACTCTATTTTTCTTACTGACAGCATGGTAAGTTTTGTGGACTTTTAGCTTATCATACTCTAGCCAAGTGGAACATTTCTTGAAAACAGACCATTTGCAAACAGACTAGGTCTACATATTTCTCACCTCTGGCCCGAGCATTGCTGCAGGATCTGTAATTGTTGACATTACTTCATTGATTAATTCAATAGGAATATCTCCTACAACCCTTGGTCTTTTTGAATCCTCCAGAGAATAGGGTTCATTATTTTTTCTCTTTTCCCCTATAAAGCAAAACCAGGACAAATTAGAACAACCAAACTGTCACAGACTAGCACTGTGAAGTCTAGCACTTACTTCTGTTATATTCTTTAATTTGTATGCCAAGTTTGGGGATTTTTTTTTTTTAAATCCCTAAAGAAAGGGAGAAAGAGAAAGAAATGCAATCCGAACAATACTTATCACTGCTGCAATTTTGTCTTTGCACTGGGATATTAGCATGAAGCAGCATGAATATATCTCTCCTTCTCCTATACCTCTCTAAATTCACAGTGAAACTATTTGCTTTGCTTTTTGCTTCAGCATCCTCTGCGCTGCTGTCTTGGAAGGTCAGTGCTCAACACACAAATTATAGTGCATACTTTTGGATAACATGAAATCCCATTTTGGGATTCACTGGAATTAAGTATCCATTACAGATTTCTTTCACCCTTTTGTAAACCAAGCAGCACATACAGTCTGACACGTCATACATATTTGACTTAGAAAATCCATATGAAGTTTCCAAATCAAAACATACCATGTTAATTATTAACTGCCCTACTAACTGAAGACCAACATGTAATATAGCAAAAGCAACTAGTTAAATTAATGAAAGAGAAGTCCACCAAGGACTAGTGGGTACAATAATACTGATAGAGCCAGCTGCTAGCTCACGATTTATCCAAGCAGCAGACTGCCAAATACTAGGAAAGCACACAAACAGGAATAGCACTCCATGGTTACCTTGGTCCTGTACTATTTCCCTAAAGATCTGCTACTGGTCATTGTCAGAGCCAGGATGCAGAATTTTGCTGTTGTGATCAGCACTTAGCAGTGAGATAAGTTGGTTTGGTTTTGTTTGGGGTTTCCCCCCCGCCCACTAAGGAAAATCCACAATAGTTTTAAGATCTTCTTTCTGAAACAACCAGGTAGTTTAGGGCCCACTATGCCCACTATTTTACATATGTTGTACAGACTGTTTTTACACAGCTATAGCGCTCTAAATGTATGAGGATCAAACTGTTCATTCCCCTTTTCAGACTTTCAAGCAGTACAATTGTTTTCTTAAAAATAGCATTTTATTGTTAACCTCCCTTCATTGTGGAAACAGTTTATTCCTGTTCTTTACTTCTTACTTTTTTAAACAGTTATTCATATGTGAACGGACCTTCCTTCTTATTTCCCAAGGCATTAATTTCTTGTTTTAAAACAGAATTTTTGGAAGCAATTTGTCAAAAGCTTTCTGTAAATCCAGGTATGCAAAACCCTTTCCAAATGCTCACCACTTCCTTCACAGATCTATACAATTCATGAGTTCTAAAAAAGGCACACTGAATTTCCACCTATCACATTACTCAAACATTTATTCATTCCATTCTTAATCAGTTTATTATTGTTTCTTCTAATTATCTGAAATAGGAGACTTACAAATTGACAGTTTCCTGAATTCTCTTAGAACCCCTTTAAAAACTGTTTTTGCATCTGTGTGTTTCAATTTTGTAGTGCTGAGGGCAATTCCAATGACAGCTCAGCTGCACAACTTAATAATTAGTTTGGCAATTGCGTATTTCTTTTCACACTCTCAGAAAAATATAATTCTTCTAGTGACTACTTACTACTCATTTTGCTGATCTGTAACAAACAAAAAAAAAAAATTCTACTCATTCCCACTTTCAAGACCATTTCCCAACTTGTCCCTCATAGAAAGCTGCAGTTTAGAAGCCACCTTAAGTTCCTCTGTAGCAAACACTGAGGCTAAGAATTCATTTAGCTTTTTCAGCTTCCTTGAGGACTTATTTTACATGAGCTCGTGATCATCTCTCTGACCTACAAACTCTCTTGACAGGCTCATTAATCCTGAGGTGTTTGAAAAAGGGTGTATTAGGAGAATTTATGCATTCAACGACTTTTTTCCCCAAAACTTTTTTTTTTTTTTAACCTGACCTCATTCAGGTTTTAAATTTAACCTGGCTGGTGTGTTTGTGCTTTTCTTTATTGCTCAAATGTATGCAATTTTAGTACCTTGAAAGATTAAAAATAAATGCAACGGCCCCTTCTACTCTGTCTTTATTTAAACAAAACTTTTTTTCATGGCTTACAATACATGTACTCCAAATAAAGTGTGTTTCAGCAACCTCTGACACCAGCAGACCTTTCCCCATTTTAATTGAACTTAAACAAACCAATTCCTTTTTTGAAATACAGTTGCCATTTCTGCTAGTTAAACATTACCATAGTGAAGAAAAAAATGTGTGTGCATGTCTTTTAGCAAAAACACCTCAAGGTCACTATTGCAGAGTGAAGGCAATGGTCACCATATGCTGCAACTACTGATAACATTGACAGAAGCCCAAAAGCAAGTCCCCCTCTTCATTACCTAGGTTTGGGTCAAGGGCAGAAGAAACTTTGCAAGCAGGACTCATACTGCCGCTGTTGGGTTGCTCCAGAGATGAAGGACTTGCACTGTATGAAACAGATCTTGCAACAGGAGGAGGATTGATAACTGCAGTGACATAAAAGACAAACACAAAGAAATCGGGACATGGAACCCATTACGGTGCTGACTGAAGGACTGTCACAACGAGGGACCCAGCTTCACACCCACCACCTGCCAAGTAACAGCTGACATTGTACAACACAGCAATGCCACCAGTTCGCAAGCACAGACATTAGAGCTTTATCTCACCATATTTTTCTAAACTTCTACCTAACAAGGGACTGTATTACTGCTGGATGACAGAGTTAGCTTTACTTCATGGCAAATATCAGGCTTTATTATTCTGCAGTGCTGAGCACAAGCTAAGAAAACAAGCCTCCTTCACATACCTGCCAACCCTGCTGGAGTTCAGCCTCATGAAAAGGCTTTTTGTAGGGGTCTATTGAAAAGCAAAATCTCATCATTCAGCTTCAGCTGTCCACTTTAACAGAGTTCAAAGACTGATTGGATAAACCAAACTCAGTAAGGAAGAAGTTGCTGCACCAGTTAAAAGGATAAAACTATTATTTTTAAAAGCCACAGACTAACATCTCTCTCTCTAATATTCTTTTCTAAGAACCACTCATCCCAAATCATCCAGTTTTCATTTGTGTCACGATTTTTGGCAGGCAGGTGTGGGGTTGAGGTGACAGCTCATAGTCTGGACACCTGCAGTCTTTCTCTTTGCATGGCTTTATCCTGGTGTCATCACCAGCAACAGCTTTTTTGTGCCACACTTATGCTAAGAATCCAGTGCTTAAGAGGTGCACATTAAAACAAAGCAGTGCAGAAATGTATATGATAGAATGAACTCTGAGAGCAACATCATTTTAGAGTTGCAATGAACTTGTGCCTAAGCATCATTCACCAGTTCACGGTGCAGACAAGGAATTTCTCACAAAAAAGCCTGTATCTGTCACAGTGGAATTTCCTTACCACTCTAGGAAATTCACTATCAGATAAAGTGCTGACATGATGGGTTTGTCAACTGATAATCAACAATCATTTCAAAATACTGAATTGTTACAAAATATTGAATTAAATACCTCCAGTCTTCACTTCCTAAAATACTGAAGATTGAAGTCAACCCCTGAGCTGCATAAGTGGATTTTAAATACTTTTGAGCAGAAAGGAAGAGGAGAAAGGGAAAGTGAAAGAAAACCATCATCAACGTCTCCCTGAAATTTTAGGGATGACTTATACCTCAGTACCCTAACTGAGGAAAAGGGAATAAAGCTGCAGAATAGCCAATGAGGCACATGAGTAAGAAACAAAGCAACAAAAAGCTATACAAAACCAAGAAAATCCAAGGCATATGTGCAAAGGCAATGGGACATCTGATGTGGAAGGTCCCTACTTCCCTACTGCTAGGTCTCTAGATCCCTGCTGCTAGGGTCCAGGAGGACTGGCGTGGGTCCTCATGTGAGGGTACCACTATCCAGCAGGTGACCCACCGCAGCCATTTACCCACTGACCATTCTCATTTTCCCACATTGAGTGCACTTGTGCTGCTTGAACAGCCAGGTGATTTGTCTCAGCACCCGGCCTGCTTCACTGGCACCTTCAGTTAGCTGGATTTCGTCATCAAAATAGGATCTCTATATGAGGAGGCACCAGAGAGTCAGGCACCTGTGCTTACTCAAGGCAGACTGATTTCGTTATAGCCTGCTATTTATAAAGCTGCATATCTAAGTCTCATTCCTTAGAATTCATCACTTGTACAGGTTTATCTTCATAATCAGGTGCTCCCTAACCCATTACTAAATGCAAATTACCCGTCTGGATTCCCAGCTGGCCAGTTCGGGAACTAGACACCATGAAATCCTGATCCCAAATGGGAGAATTCTGGCTGTATACTTCTTCTTCCAGCATTGACAGAAACCTAGGCACAAAACCAGATGAAATATTAACATAATAGGATCATTCAAACCAGGTTCTTCTTCAGAATAAGCATTTGCAACTTTTAAAATTTAAAAATATTTAATGATTCAGTAAGAAAATGCTGTTGGTCAATTCCTTTTTAAAACAAACACACACAAAATCACAAGCCAGAGTAGACATTAAGTATCTTAATTCAGTAGAGTGCTTTCACCTATGAAAACTTATCTTTGGTTATAAGCAATATTTATCTAATTTGCAAATGCAGAAAGAAACAGTTACAAACTACTTTTACAGAACAAAACTGTGCACTAATAAGAAAGCTATGAGTTGACAGATGCCAAGGTACTCATATTATACAATGATGACAAAATATATCTATTTTGATAAAGTGGTGTTTTGCAGATGCACTTGCTTTCTGCCTCTTACTGATTTATAAAATCCCAGTGTTAGTTATTAACAATGCTCTTAGGAAGATATTTTCATTCCTTTAAGTGTGCTACTGTAACATTTAATTGCATGTTTGTGCTTGCATAACAGTATTTTTAATCTTACTTTGGTACACTTACAGGAACAACATGATTTTAAACCTCTCTTAGTATTATTACATGCAAGAGAAATTCCACAGATCAGGCTATCCAGCACGCCTGCCTTCACAGGGCTAATGCTTCAGTTCTCTCTCAGAAGCAAGATAGCTGCTTATCTTATGTTGCACAAAAGGGGTTTTCAGACCAGAAGTTGACACAGCACATTTTTACTTTCTAGAGTCATCTATATGTGTAGAAACTGTCCAGCTGAAACCAACAGGACTGTTAAATAAGACTTTTCTTGAACAGGGTAAGGATTTTCAGGATCAAGTCCTACTCTTGTATTTTATATATAGGACATTCATACCTAAGCACTGCAATGTGCGGTGTTTCCTGCTATCTATACAGCTGATAACGGCTAAAAAGTTTGTAACAGCTATCTGACCGTCTGTGACGGAGTAGAAGCACAAATTGAACTTTGGCAAAGGCTACCTTTACAGGCAGCACGCAGACTCTGCGTTCAGAGCCCTTGGTGACTATTTCCTAGGTACACACAGACCTAACCTGTGGCTGCTCCCTTTGCCCAGGAAGGAGCGGCCAGGGCAGCTGGGAGCCCCGCACTGAAACCAGGCACCGGCTCTGTGCTCCGAGCGGCAGCTCCTCCGCAGTGTTCACACTGCGTAAACACCAGCAGAGAGACAAATGCTTCAGACAAGCACAGCCCGTAAAAGATTTAAAATGTTATTCATATTTCCCACAGACCATCAGCAAACAGTGCTTGCCTTTCTTTTTTTCCCAGCAGAATATTAAGAGGAACTGCAGTGAATAATAATGCTTTTCAAATTACTTTTCTAGGCTGTAAAAGGCAGTGGAAACATAGGGGCGTATGCATACCTCCTTCCTCCGCGAATCTGCTCCTTGTATCAGTGCGGTGCTAAATCCTTTTTTATACCTATTTCAGGGCCAGATCATAATCCTCTTCCCAGATACACCCAAACATTCCTGTATCCATAACAGCCTACCCCAGAGACAGTTTATGCTTTTCAAGGTGGTAAAAAGCACTATTAATAACAGTAGGAGCAACAAATCCTGGCTGTACCCAGCTTTGGAAAGCTCATGTCGTTTTTCATTCCCCTGAGCACTAACCCACTCTAGCCCCAAACAGCAGCTTGCACAGCAGCAGTGCCACCAGCTCTCCTGTAGGTTCAGCTCCTTTGCTGTTAGGAGGGACAGACTTTTAAAATATGGGCTAGAGAGCCAAGGCACCCTCACAAAATAATGATATTTTTCAAGTGATAACTATTTTAACAGGAAGCACACAATGAATGATCCTGTCACCAACAACACCCTTAACCACCAGTAAAATGTTTGAAATTAAGGACTGTCAAAAGTTGAGCATGTTTCGAGACAAGTCATTCTCCCGTATACCCCAATATGTAATTATTATTGTTTAATTGTGAGAGACTGTCATCAATATTCCAGTACTGGAACAGGTAGTCACTATGAAATTTATGAGTTTAGGATTCACTGATGCAGCTTTATATTAACTACCCTCTTCTTTGTCAAATGAACACATCTGTTCTGGGGGTGGGATGACTACTGTGTTCCCTATTACAATGTTGAATTAAAATTAAATTCTTAGGTGTATATAAACTCCAGTACAACACTCCCTTTTTTATTGCTCCATCACAAAAGCAGAAGCGAGCACGTTTTTGGAGATCTGGACCTATGTTGCTTCCAAGGACTACAGAAAAAGAAAGTAAGAGACCAACAATACCTGCTGATAGGCAACAAGCGCAATCCCCCAGCAAGATGAATAATCCTTTTTTATAAAGTAAAGCCCTAGGACAAAGCAAAACAAGTGGCTGTGTACATAAAATACACTAGTTCAAGCTATGGCAGAAAAGAAGGCTGCAGTGTCTACTTGTTACTGAATAAAAGGAGAAATGATTTTAAGCTGCAGGTAATTTTTCCATTTCCATGCCAAAGTTGCATACTACTGGTTAACCTTGAATGAAGGCACATTGCGACCCCTTACTTTGGAAAATGGGTGAGGATTAGTGTTCGTTTCTCTTGAGGAAGCTTGTCTTTTTCTTGCCTGGCCTGCTCCAGCAGTTGCCGTCTCATTACAGTAAAAACAGAGCGAAGCAATGTCCTACCGAAAACCTGGGTGGTTTCATACCGAGGTAGACTGTCACAGAACTGAGGGACATTGCAATAACAAAGCCACCTGCAAAGGGGAAAAAAGCCAGACAATTATCACTGTCTAACATATGAATTAAGGCAATAAAACCACTACCCACATCATTTATAACACAGCTGAGAGCTATGTGACTGTATAAATCAGTTCCACATCAAGTCTGGACAGAGTTAAGCAGCATTTATATTGCCCAGTTTTTTAAAGAAATGACAGCCAAGTGCTTTTAAGTCTCCATATATTCTTTTTCTCTGCAGTCTAGTTTCCACAAAGTGCTCTTGTTCCAGACAGTAATCATAGATCATATAAAATTCGTGTTGATGTCAGGGATTCTCTCCACAGCTCATTCATTCAGCCTCCCACGTCTCTTGCCTGCGACTCCAAAGACCCTTAGCCTGGCCCGTTTTCCCCTCTTTAAACTTCTGCATTTCCCCACACAGATGCAAAAGGGGCGACACTTCTATCTCCACCCCGATCCGACTGGACTCCCACGCTGCTCTCCCACCAGATGGCTTCTTCCTATTACACCCTGACTCGATACTCTATTTCATTTACCAGTAACTCCCTCTGTAACGAGTTTTGCATTAAGAAGTACATATGAAAATATAGCGTGTCATGTCACTCTTCTTGGAAAAGGGGTCATGGCACTGAAGAGGTAGATCAGGAGTACATGACTATGTAGGTCACGATATCTGTTAATTTTATAAACAAGATTTCAGTATCTGCGTGGAATGGTATCTGTAGCTTTAACAGAATCAGACCACAACCATTATGAAAGCTCCAACAATTAAAAAGAAAAAAAGGTTAAGAATTGGATGCAAACAGACTCTGCTGGATGCTGCACTAGTTTTCTCACCCAGACCCAAAGTACACCCCGTCTCAAAACGCTCTCTCAAACTCTCGTGTCTTAATCTTTGCAAACACAGGAGTTGCAAAAGAGTTGTCAGATACAGATGTTCCCAGACCTCTACTCCCTGTTCTTGGCCGATAAAGCACGCCTCTCAAAACGCAAGGATGCATGTGAAACTCTGATGTAGTTTCCCTCAAATCATCAAGTTTTCAAATGAAGTCAGTGACTGCAAGAATTCACGAGGTGCACCCGTGGCACACAGCGGCTTCCTCAGCCCCCCGAGCAGTGCCTCGCACGCTGCGGAGGGGCGAAGCTCATGCTGACAGGTTATCAGCACCTTGGGTCAGAGGGAGCCTTAGGGATGGCAGGTGGGAAGGTTTGAGAAACAGCCAGTGGCAAAATGATTAACGATAGAAGTCACCAACCAGAGCCAATGCTAGCTATTGATTCCGAATAAAAGTTGACTCCAGCCAACCCTGGCTATCTGACATCTTCATCACAAAAACACAGAGGGCCAAGACGCACCAAACACGGTCTTAGGAGCCCCACGTATTATCAGTAACTGTCCTTTAAGCCAAGTAGTTATTTGAGGCGCCAGGTTATCTGAGAGCACCCCGGTCGGACACAGACGCAGCACAGCCTGCCGTATCACCAGCCGCAGTCTCAACTCGCACCAGGATTTGCTCTTCTCTTTCATGGAGCTGGTTTTTTTCAGAGGAAAGGCCACCAGAAAAGCGGGCAGAAGGCAGCGCTCATCCTCAGCCAGGAAAAATGTCCCTGGCCGTTCGTCAGCTAACTGCTGCCTGCGCTTGCAGACGGCAGGTTAAATGCTGCCTGCACCAGCAGGGACCCTGACTGCTGTCTCTGTGCTAACTGGAAAAGGACCTAACAGCAGCTACTCACCATTTAGCATTCAAGCACTCACCAAATTATATTAATTTTTCAAATCTTCCAAGATTTGGTTTCAAACTGTGACGCTTTGCAATGCTTAATGTTATCTTCTTTCTTTTTTTTTTTTTTTTTTTTAACAACCTGACTGAATTTTTAGTACATGAAATAAGGATCTTACATGAGGCTCATATCTTAAGAAGACCGAGAGCAACTTTGCAAACACAGGATGTGCAAAAGTGTTGTTAGATACAGGTGTTCGTGACCTCTACTCCCCGTTCTTGGCTGATAAAGCACACCCCTCAAAACACAAGGACACATGTGAAACTCTGATATAGTCTCACTAAAATCATCAGGTTTTCATATAAACTCCATGGCTGCAAAAATTCACAGTGTGCACCTGTGGCGTTCACATACTGGTGTATTCCTTAAGTGCGTACATGCCATATTTGTAAGCAAGACTTGTAACAAGCAAAAGCTGCGTTACCTGGTATAATTCACTTTATACCCCGCAATATCATCATTGGGTGATCTTAGTCTTCGCTGAGAAGGTGTCTCCAGGTGCCAGTAGTTAATGCGGTTCAGAAACATTTTAGCCAGTTCCACTATCGTTTGCCTTTCCTTTGAGGGCAAGTGGCTAAATTTGTACTGCACAAAATTATTCACACCCTTAAAACAGAAGAAAATGATCTTTAATTATTTAGCCATAATTTTATGTAGGGGTGTCCTTGAGCATTCCTCACTTTACATTTATTAACCCTGAACTTGCGTTACATGGGAAAGAAAACAAACACTGGACACCATGAACTCCTTGCTCAGCTACTCGTGTACCTGCCACAAGATGGTTCCCCTGTACACCACAGCAGGTACATCCAGATGTTTTAATTCTATCCACCTCCAGCAGCTGACTTACAGGGAGAGAAGGAAAATTCTTTATTTTTCCTTGCTTCTCAAAGTAAAAAACTTTGTCAGGGAACAGAGAAAGATCCAGTAAGCTTTCTTCTATATGCTCACATATGCACAATTTTGCTGATAACCATGCTGCATGATTTATTTCCTTTGCAAATCAAGTACCACCTATAAACCTCTCCAGCTACTTTCAATAGTAGACTAGGGCTTGTGGACTTCTAGTTAAGTTTGTGTCTACACATCATACTATTTCTTCAAGAAGTGTCAGTATTTCACAAGTATGTCCCCTCATTGCACTTTGTATATTGTCCGCTTTAAAAAAAAAATACTGAAGATAGTTAAAATGGGTGACTAAAAGTGCTGCAATACATACATATTATAAATCAGTTATAATTCTGCTCCTTAGCAAATAATTTTGTGTGACTGAGTTGCTGAACTGCTAAAAACAGAACTGAAAATATAGGTCTATTTTCAGAGAAAATTATTTCAAAATAAACTGTAAGAAGAATTATCCTTTCATCTCTATGCTTTACTTTCTTAAGCAAATTGAACAGTATGAAGAATGTGACAAAAAATTATATTGTACAAAACCTTTTTAATAATGTACTTTAAGGACTAGGAGTGTATGCAGATTACATACACTTAGTCTTCGCTTATGCTCAAACTAAAGGAGAACTTAAGGTGAAGACTTCCCAGAAATTCAGCAATAAAGTGTTTTGATTTTCCTAAATTATAAGAAGTGAGAGTTGCAAGGAAATAATTACTACACAGAACAGTCTTCACATTTAAAATACTTTGTTTAACAATAGAGCATCCACTCATCCACTGATGGGAAAACATTGAGCTCCTGTTTCAGCGAGGTATGTGAGCCTGTGCATAGTCTCACTGGAGCTAATGGGCCCACTTGTGCGCCAAAAGCACATTCTCAGGAGCTTGCTTAACCAAAATCTGAATGTCATATGTTCTTTCTCCATTGGGAGTTACAAAAGCCTCAGTTATTCTTTGGTTTCGGCTTTGTTTTTTGTTGTGTACCCTTTGAAAGAGAAGGCTATGATCTCACTGAATTGGATTGTAACATTTTCATTGATTCACAGAAGACAAGTGTCATTTTAATATTGGATTTCAAAACTTCAACAGCATTTTTCATCACTTGAAACAAAGAAAGATTAGAACTGCCACACATAAAAGTAGTGTTTTAAGTTCATTCTCTAAAACCCCAAAAAAGTCAGTTTCATTAAAGCATAAGATGAATGATGAGAGAAGTTAAATAATGTAACTATTGTACCAACACTAAAGGAGAAGCAGCAGAAGTCTCCTACAGTCCCCTACTTTGTCTTAAGTAATACACAGAAACATCTGCAAACTGCCTAAAATGCCATGTTTTCAAAACCAGTGCCTATGTTTACACAAAAAAAAACCCCAAAACCCCAAACCCTAAAACAAACAAACAAAACGCCCCAAAACCCACCAAATCAAGAAATCCCACACCAACCAAACCCACGTGGTGACTGTTTACCTGTTCAATGCTAGGTTTCTCAAATGGGGGACTTTCCAAAGATCCTTCTACTACAGGTTTTCCCATCTGTAAAATGCACTTCCTCAAAAGCTGTTAAAAATATACACATTTTTTTTAAATTAGCATATTTGCATACATAGGGTCAATGGAAGTCACAGGTGCACAACAGACTGCAAGCAGTGTTTAAAATCTCCTGGCTGTATATCTGCTTGTTTAGTCATGTAAATTTATAGCTACTAAACTTCAGTGTGAATTCGCCTTCTTTGAAATGCATATAAGAGGCTTCTCTGAGCAAATGTAGGCAGCTAAGTTAACACTTATGTCAACTGACTTTTCCTGATGTGTAAGTGAAGAGGGTAAGGCTTGCAAGTTGCACAGTTTATAGACGGGACTCCGGGTCAGCTCCTGAATCATCTGGATGACTTCTGGAGTACAATAGGGTACGTTGCAAGTACCACAACATCGAGCCCATAGTTAGCCACTAGAGCATCACACTAGAGAAAAAAAGTCTCACCAGATAAAGCCAACACACCCATGAGGTGCAATTGGCTTATGTGTGAGAAAGTGAAAAACCTGAGAAGATACTACACAAGTTCAGCTTACTTTGAACAGGTAGAAATAAACTTGCTTGGTGTCCGCATCTTCTTCTTTGTGGACACAGGTGAACAGATACTCCACATCCAATACAATCCCCAGGAGCCTATTCATTTCTTCTTCAGACACATTCTCCAGGTGAGAAACATGAGTAGCTAAACAAAATAAAAATCCAAACCTGTAAAAAACCTACTGAGAAAACCAATAGCACAAGCATTCCCCAGGATATCTCAAACTAAACCCTCATGGTAAAGACACCGATCCTCTAATAACGTATTTAAACAGAATGTCTTATCAGAGGTAACTGAAATGTATGTCACATCGGAGTAGTTTGTAAAGGCAGCCCAGGGGTGGTAATTCCCACAGCAGAGAAATGATGGCTGGTTGGAATCACAGTATCTGTTAACACTTAAAACAGACCACGCAAGTCCTGTGTGTATTAATACGTTGCAATACGTAAATAACTACATATATTTTTGTCCAAGAGCTACGCTTTTGAGTTTCTTGACTAAAGAAAATAAATCCATAATTCCCATAAATTAGGTAAATAAGCTCTGTAAGTAAGCTTTTTGTTTTAAACTGGACATTACTGGCTAAGTCTCATACTTTCATATCATGTAAAATCAAACTATGCTTTGTGCACACTATATTAACAAAGCTTTTGCAGATTGCACATGCTCATCTGTTCAGAAGTCTACCAAAAAGCATCTTTCAACATATCATAATTTCCAAGTGGCAAACTCCCTTTTATCATCTCCAAAGGTAAATACAGTTCCACATTCGTAATTTTCAAAAGCTTGAGGTTTGTACATGTGAAGCGGGACATTCATTTCAAGCTGGTTTGAACAACTGGCCCCAGGAAGAGAGAAGGCAATTTAAAACAAAAAGTCATTTCCCAGAAAGGAGCTATTTGCATTACAAAAACCAATGATCTTCACTGACTCCAGGCCAATGCACATGGTATGCATATCCTTTCCTCTGAAAGGACAAGAAAATATCCTCTACAAGAAAAGGAAAAGTATTTAACAGCTTGGGCATATTAGTTTTTATATCTTTTAATAACTTGTATCAATATTTACTTCTTAGATCATTATTATATTATCTTAGATATGCCAATGTGATTAGGACTGGTAAGAAATTTCCAGCATAAATGTGATTCCTTAAGGGGAGAGGAACTGGGAAGAAATAACACTTGATTTGAAAACAATCATATTTATTGGCCACCCAGCAAAGACAGCTGGTTTTGGAAAGTTTGGTATGACACCTGCCAAAACATTTAAATTCAATAAATTTGTGCAGCTTCAAGCAAAAAGGACACCATGGCTCAGAACATTAAAAAGATGCCAGCAATCGTTTCCACTTAAATGAACATCTATAATATAGTGTCTTAAGTTCTGAGTCTATGCTCAGAACTGAAAGGGGGATGGTCGTCATGGGCCTTCTTTAAGGACAAATATTCAGCATTCTGGGCAGAATAAAACTATTTAATTTCTGTCCTTGAGCCAGATATGAGGGTTTAATATTCCCAGCTGTCTGTTCTGATCTTGTAATAGTAATAAATGCCCTCCTAGATGAGCATTGCATTTGAAATTGATAACATACTAAAGAAACCTTGCACTTAACTAACAAATGAATAAAACATCAGCATAAAAAGCGATTTCCACACAGTTTCCATAACAATACTGAAAGTTACTTTGACTACTTAGTGGCCATATTTAAATATCTTATTAAACTAGAGAATTACTACCCATACAGTGAATCTAAAAGTAATATAAGCCTATTACCAGTATGTATTTACTACCAGTTATCATTTACTATAGTCACCAGTGTTTGTACATCAGTCCAACAAACTATCTTTCTTCAGATGTTCACAGCCCATTCCCAAATTCTTGTGGCCATTAGTAAATGTTTTATTACAATCAAAGCTTTAGTACACTGACATCAAATACTGAGTTACTCTTGACTAGAGTTACACAGTCCCACTCATCTGCATTGCGCAGCCAGTACATCCTTCCTCAGCTGCTGTTGTGCTTGCAAAATAATAAATTTCTAAAAAATAAATCACAAGTGTAGTTTGCTACAGCATATGGAAGAAGAAAGCAAGCAGAAAGAGCAAGGCCAATGCAATGATATGAAGACCTGAAAAATAGCAAGTTAATTATTTTAGGTGTGTAACTTCAGTAAGCAAGTACTTGAGTGTATGAATTAGAAGCAGTTACAAAACAGACTCATAAGGAATGTGGCCGCAGTCTGTCTCAAAATCAGTGTGTATGTAAAAACACTAGTAATGTATATAGGACAGGCAAACCAAGAAATACCCAAATACGCTACGCAAAGGTGCATAGCAGGAACTGAAGACAGTGCTGGGGGGAAAAAAAAGAGCCTGAGTGGGTACATTGTGTGCTAACACATTAATTAACAAGTTTTAAAAGCGCACTAGACTCAAGACCAAAAATGTTTACCAACAGGAAAATATACGCTGTAACACAGGAGAGTTATATATAAAAATATAAATATAGAAATATAAGAGAGAAAAGAGCCTCTGACTATGTAACACCCAGTCTTGAGGCTGCTGGAGAGTGAATTCTCCTGGCACACAATTCAGTCGCCACTTCGCAGTGTTATGGTAGTGACCCAATATATCACCCAAATAAAATAAATATTCATGAAAAGCCCAGTATAGAGGCAAGCTGTGGGGCTGAGCCACAAATAGAAGAATACAAGTTGTAGGGAAGTAGACAGAAATAAGTTCGATAAGCTAATACGCACCACCAAACAGACTTATGCACCAAAAACTGCACTGGCTTAAAGATCGAACCATACCCCCAAAAAGAGATCTCTCAAGCAACACTAATGTCTAGGATTACCTTTAGAAGAAAATAATAAAAAAAAGGCAAAAAACCTGAACATCCTACATTTTACATCAGGTATGGCTTTAACCAGTACAGGAATTTCTGCATCGCTATTTCAGCGGCTCTCCGAGGAAGAGAAAATGCAGCACAGATGATAATCTGAAGTCTGTACACCCTGTGGTCAGTTTGGTTTTAAAGGCATTCAGAAGGAGCACACTAATTTAGTGGAGATGAATAGGAAAATCATCTTGGAAAACACCACTGAAAGACATATTTTTGCCAGTAGTATGAGGAAGCAGACAGCAACTCATTTCAGTTATTTCAAATGAAATATCACCCTCATTAGCTGCAGTCGGCAGAATAAGAAACTTTACCTTTTCTAAAACCAGCAATAAATAAAAATACAGGTTTTTCCATAAGGTACATGTCACTGGTACTGGTTTTACGGTATTGTTTTTCCCTGGTTCCCTAGCTAACGAGCAATATACGATTTTTTTAATAGACCAAAAACAGTCTCAGCCTTTAGAAGAGCTGAGTTTTTCTACAAAATACAGAGCCATCCACAAATTCTGCTGAAGAACAGTGAACTGACAGACACAACATCTTATAAGATTTAAAAAAACCAAACACACACACACAAAAAAAAAAAAAACCCAAAACAAAACCAAAACCAAAAAACCACTACCTCTTTCTTCAAAGGCCAGGAATGAAAGGGACGGGTAACACAAGCTACCCTAACTGCAAAACCAAAAGCAGCACAGAGAAGCTGCGTGATGAAAGGTTGAAACGAACTTGGCTAAAGTGACCAAACTTTCCGTGATACTATGCATTTGCTAATCTTCTCCTGCAAGCAAACCCAGAGATTTGGGATATCAGGAAAGGAAAGAAATCAGCTGAAAAGCACAGAAATAGATCAAATGTAATGAGAGCATAAAAAGAAAAGAGAGCAGAAATAGAAATAAATCCCACTTAAGAAAAAAAAAAGTATACCACACAAAGTACACTACTATTTTCAAAAGTAAAGAAAAAAAAATTATCCGTTGTGAAGGTTTTAGATTTCCGTTTTCTTATTTCACTGTCCTAAGTTTTGGACATCAACAAAAATTAAATAGCATCTGCTTCTTTTCAGATAGTTCTGAATTTTATTTTAGCTCAATTTTTATTCAATATTTGCTAATGTATACAGAAAAAGTCATAATCTTTTATTTCAGATAAGCACAAATTCTTAAAAAAAGAATACGGTGATTCACCACTCTTTTTCAGGCTATGTGGGTAAAAAATCATTTATTATTAGTCTAAAAAAAAGAACCCCAAAGCCCCACAACAGTATTTAAATATGTAAATTTTTAAATATGTAAATAAACAGTATATAAATATGTTAATATAGTGTGCATAAATACAACAGTATTTAACAGTGGATTTTGAGCAGTTGCTTCCAAGACATGCAAGCTGTCTGCACAATAACTTAGATGATGCTAAGATGTACAACCCCGGTATTATTTTCCGTGACACGGAAAAGGCATAGTTCTTTTGTAGGTAAGAGTACCTGCTTTAGCAATGCTCAAGAATATTTTATCGTTTATTCTGTAGTAAGAAAATGTAATACAGCCTACAGGAGAGAGTCATTCACGTTGTAACTAAGGCAGCTGACAGATAAAACAATGTGAGGTTAATGCATGTGTTACACAAAGTATTAAAATTGTTCTGGGTAGCTTAAAAGTGCTTTCGCATTTTAACAATTTAAGATGTCTGGGTTGTTAGAAGTTGTACCTTAGCTCAATTTCTTCAAAACGCATTTTAGGATATTTCCGACACATGTTAATCGAAGTTAATTGACATTTCTGCCCAGTCATTACCCCCAGTTCTAGGTCTTGGCATAGCCTCTTGACTTTGGTCTCGCAAGAGCGGAGGCTTCGGGGTACAAGCGCAGGGATTGCGGGAGCAAGGCGAAAGCTTACCCAGCGCGTGGCTGCAGCTGCGGCAGGGTTCGGCGAGGCTGACAACCGCCTGCTGCAGCTCTGCCCGGGGCGGCGTGGGAGGCGGGTTGGGGTTCTTCCAGCCATTGCATTTACAGGATTCTTCGGCCTGAAATCAAAGCAAAGGGGTATTGATCAACAGCGTAAAAAAAAAAAACTAGGAACTTGCTGGAACTGCGCTATTTCAAAAGCAATAAAAAGTAAGATTATTAATTTTAAGTTGGTTTATTGTTTTGTTCTGATGTTTTGGGGAGGATTTTTGGGGTGTATTATTGTTGTTGTTTCTTTGTTTTTAGTTTTTTATTTACCGCACAGCTAGACTTTATTTTCTAGAAATAATCAGAAACAGAATAGCACCCCAAACAGGGAGATTAACATGGTTCTGGTAAGCAAATTGTGCTCAGAAAAATACATACACAAACTCTGGCTAATTCCTTTACAGAAAGCCCTCGATCTAGCTTCTCTATGAAAGAAATATTCAAACACTTACTGGTACATCAACACGTACAGATCCTGCCACCAAGACAGTTTTAATGATTTAAACACCAACAGGTTATCTAACAGGCAACAGGTTTATCACTGCCTTATCAGCTATACTGGCACCAAGGATTCAGGCAACTAAAAGCAAGCCCATGACAACCCGAGCAGGATTAACTAAATACTGAAATAAGCAAACAATAATTGCACTATTGGAGAATACTGTCGAAAGCAAGGCTTGGCCACAAAAGCAATGGGTGCCAAAGACAGTGCCGCTACCAATGAAACCTGCTGCTTACCCTGCAAAGTTTATTTGCACTCAGTGACTGCAAAACACCACGGACGGACCGCAGCTAAAAGGGGTGACCACGAAAGGAGAGGTTGTGACTTGGGCAATCATCTTTCAAATCATTCAGAAGTTTGAAGTCCCAATTCTAGTTATCCAACAAGCAGCTTTATAGGAGGGGATTTTCTCCTGCATATCCAAAAGATCTTAGTTATTTTGATGGTAAAGTTCTTCTAACAGCATCCATACCCCTATGTGAAGATCTAATTGGAAGAAAAGCGTGCTTTTCTACTGCTCAGAGATATCTGTGCACCGGGCTGTAACAAGACACTCATGAATTTGCAGTGCCAAGACCTCAGCGAGGAAAGTATGCCAACTGCTGCATAATATTTATGACTGAAACAACCTTAGTAGGAAAAATTGTGATGTTAATATATCCAGCACTAATGTGTCATTTTTCAAAACTGATTCTGAATATATTTAATGCAAGCTATTTCAGGAACCTATTTCATTTTCCTTTTATGTTTCCAAATCTCATCTTACCTAAGAAAGAAGCACCCAGGAGAAGCAGAAAGGATCACAGCTTGACAGCTCCTAAGACTGACAGCTTTGTAGATTGATGGTGAATTGTTCTTCCAAACTAATTTCAATATTCAGCAACCTGAGCACCAAGAAAACTGGTGCCGGCAGTTCGCTGAGCACCACATGATGTTTTTAGCATCTCTAATGGTTAAGTCTTACCTGGCTGGGCTCCTGGCCCCAGGTAGCATGGCCTCTGTCTGTGCCCGGAGGGGTCTGGCAGGTACAAAGGGGTGTGAGTGGCATTTTCAGCGGCCAGAGCCAGCAGGATGACTCAGAAATCCAAGTGCAAGTGCCCAGCAAAACCACTTCCACGTACTTCCCTTGGAAGGGGGACAACCTGCATCGCCTGAACCCCCCGGCTCTCCAAACTCACGGATGGGTGCAGACTGCCTGCCACCCCGTGCATTTATAATGTGGCATCAGGGAGGTTTCAGTATGAAATGTGGGGAAGATGAAACCAATTTTTTGGTTTTTTAAAGTCTCATAAAATGCAATCTGGATGGATTTATGGTTAATTTTACGTTATTTTTCTATCATGTTTTCTACGAGTAATACGATTGGCAGTGAAATGAAGAAGGCACAATGTTACAGCAGAAACTGTCTCTTACAGTTTCACAGACATTGAGCCAGCTTTACTTTTGTTTGTTACCTAGACGTGCAGGACATCTTAAAGTTTAATGACTAGATCAGTGATTGAGTGACACCTGCAAACCAAGGATTGCCCTGGTGTGGGGACTTTGGACATCTGTGAGATGATGTGAAACCACACTTTCAATTAATGCCTCAAGCTAGAAGAAAACAATGCCAAATAAGCCAGCCACATTTGCTCTGTGGAAGAGGCAACATTGCCATGAAAGTTTTTGCAGTTAAGACAGGGATAGAGAAACTGTTACAGAAAAAAAAAAAAACTGTCAGAAAATGAGATTATTGCCAAAGAAAATTCAAGAGAATCATAAAGAAGTTCTCAAACAAAAATTGATTCAATATTATTTTAGGGAAGTAAGATTTGATCCTTCCCATGCAGCTGTCTGGACAAATGTTCAACACTGTAAATTACTGACATAATATCATGCATATTATTAATTGCCTTAAATCATACCACAATGAAACATGTCCAAAAAAAAGCCCCCTCAAACTAGGCACAAGCTTTTTGATATTTTTTTCTCTAAGTGGAAACAGTATTTCACAGAAGCTCACCACACAATGTTTACTACCAAGCCTAAAAACTATAAACAGTGAGTAACTACACAAACTTTAATGTCACACAATAATTAACAGCAAAGATGCAAACAAACAGATGTACGAATGGTGATAACAGCTCAGTTAAACTGCCAAAAAATAAATACCAACCCACCCACAGAAGAATAAAAACAGCATGTTCAACAGCACAGATTTTTTCTGCCCTTGGTAGTTATTTCCTCGCCAGATCTTTTTGAAGCAGATGTTAATTTGTATTGTTCAAATTATTCCAGAGACCTTTCTCAAACAACTACTAGGGTGGCGTTTTTTCTTTAATCTGTCTATAAAACACCAGAATCAGCATAAATGTTCTGTTAACCAAGGGGAAACACAACCGGAAAAGGTCCTCCTTAAAACTAAGCTTTCATTGTAGATGTTGACAGTGCAAGTATTTTGCAGTGAATAGGCAATGTGCATTCCTCAGTGGCTTAAATTGCTGAGTTGTTTTAAGTCTTCCACAGTGTTTTGTTCATTCAATCCTTTCTTTGACTATCTTCAGCTTTCCCCTTTCTTTCTCTTTTTTTTTATTGTCACTCATCTGCTTTTCATTAGAAAATAAAGTATGACTTCACCTCCACAAAAACTTAATTTAAGATCAAAACAGTTTTGAGGGGAGGAAGGAAAAGAAGCATTTGAACCTAATGTATCTAGTCCTTGGAGCCTTGTTTTCTGGGACATCTGCAGAGCTTTGATAAAGCCACTGGAGAAAGTTGGGGACTTCTGCCTTACTGAAGCCCGTCAAGTAATGACTGTCATCTTTGCAGGCCTGAGGATCACAAACACTGCATCTTCATTGGCGGTTTTTAATAAAATAGGATGAGTGCAGTATAGTAAAACACAATTACGCACTGTTGCCTGCCCCCCCCCCCCAAAAAAAGCCAGTTCAGAAATTATGTATCATTTGCACTGTACAATATAATTTCAATACAATACAACAATCATTTTTTTGACCCATTCCGTGTTAGGTGGAGCGTTACAATGTGGGAAATCAAACTGTCCAATAGCTCTGGGCAGTGAAAACTGCAACTCTGGACAAACTAAAGTTACTGTTTCCTTTAAAACACTGAATATACTGACAGCAGGTCAAAAATGGACAGTTAAAAAATACAGCACATTTTAACACCCGTTGTTAGCATTTTTATTTAAAAAGGAAGCACCTGAAAGTTACAACATGGCACATCTCAGCCCCTTTTAAGTGGGTTTCAGGTGTCTAAATAATAATAAATAAATGAAGAATGTTACAGTAACTTACAGACTAAAACATTCCTCCCCTTTTTGGATTGTGAAATGAGCACAGGAACATGCAAACTTCAGGCTAACTTAATTACAAAGTAAAAGACTCCAACAGTCTTAAAACTGAGCTTCAAAACAGCTGCTGTGCTCTCTTTCCAACTCAAAATCATACAGGTTGCTCTGTCTGGTAACTGAGATGCCAAGCAGACTCAACAGATTATATATATAAACCACATTACAGATCTTTCTATTTCCAGCAAGTATAATTACTTTAGAAAAGATATTCTTCCTCACCCTGTAAGTATTCTCCTGCAAGCAACAATCTCCAATTGACGTTTTTAACAAAGAACATCACACAAACCATAACAAATACGTCGATGAATTTAAAGCACATATTTTTCCTACTCAGATGTCCAGTAACCACAGTTAGACACTGCTTGGACAGCTACTCGTACACATCAGGAAATTAGATGACCTATTTGTCTTTAAAAACACAAAATAATCAGTTAAATGTTCAGCTATAAGGACATGCTCTTCATTTACTGATCAATCCAAGTATTCTATTCCCTGCATTTTCCAGTTTCACTTAACAGAATAGATGTAAGCTACCATAAAAAGCTTTTATTAATAATAGGGGCCCAATTCCCAGCTTGCAAAGCTAATAGTAGATTTCCTATTCAATTTATAGGAAAATGCTTTAACTGGGCCTGTAAGACAATGTAAACCAGATTCACCTCACTATGAAAATGATCGTAAGAAAGCTTTAGATGTCTTGTATGTCTCATACACTTCTGCTTTAAACAACTTTAATACATTTCCAGTTGAGCTTCAAGGAGCTGTACGCACACTACACAGAGTCCAGCACTAATATGGCCACATCTGCCTCATCTTAATCTGCCTTATAAAAGTAAGGAAAAAAAAAATTTCATTATGAAAACGGTGGTACATATTTACCCTATGAACTCTTTTTTTATGTGCAGGGGCAGGAAAACTCCACAGAGGTCACTCTAGGATGAGAAGTGGTGAAGAAGTGTCTCTACCAAGGGCCAGCAGCTGGTCTGGAGCCCAGGACCCGGATTTTACTGCAGCCTCTGCCACTCGCTCACCTGCCACCGGGCCTCGGCCAAGTCATCTCATCATAAACCCTTCTCACTCTCTGTCCATTTTGTTTATCTAAAGCACAAGGTCTTTCTTCAAGGAGGTATTATTCCCTGCTACTTGTGCAAATGCCTTAGGCAACTGGGCTCTAATTATATTTATAAGCATCCGGGCATTACTGTAAGATATATATAATGAGAAATAACCAATTTTACAGAAAACTTAGTGTACTAAAACAGTACATATTTCAACTTATTTATAAGAAAAACTCCCAGTGAGACTGGAGAGGGAGAGTTGTATTTTCACATACTGTAAACCAATAGGGGGAAAAAAGCCAAGGAGACTTCCTCCTACATCTTCATTAAATATATTTATGTGTGTAAGTCACACAGTGCTGCTTTTATGTAAAAGTGCTGCAAGCTCGCATGCCTAATGCTCAATTTCACACTGGACAAAACCAAAACGATGTATGCAGCCATTCATATGTGCACAGATACAGGGAGTGCCAAATACAAAACCTTGCACAGCATACAGCACTACTGTGCACTTCCAAGTGTCATTAAAACTGTGCCAACTCCTAATATGTATCTTACTGTTCAGAATGTGCTTTCTTCCCTCCCCCCAAACTTGGGCATTTAAAATGTTTTTTTTTTTTTTTTTTTACACAGAAGAGCCTGTTCTCACCCTTCCACCCCAACCTTTTTGTCACAGGGGAAAAAGTCAAGCGGAGCAGCTCAACAGCTACAAACCTCCTGTCCCAATTCTTTATCAGGAAAAAGAAACAAATCCCACATTTCTCTAGCCTGGGCAGCAGCTCCCTAAACTTCACTCTCATTCTGCTCAGAATGTGTGCACACAGAAGATGTCTTTGCCAGCAGCCTTTGTCCATGTTTCCCATGAAGGGATCGCTGAAGAAGGACCAGGAGGTCCCTCTTGGGGACTGAGCGCCAGTGAGACTCACCCTCTACACCACCACCAGCCTCTCCAAATTCTTGTGTTGCTGCTCTTCGTCCCTAGCGAGCACATGCTCCCTGCCTCTGCTACTCCCAGCATCTCTGAAGTTAAGCGCCTAATAAATCCTGCGTGCTGAATTTTGCAATGAATTTTACGTGGGAGAAGGTGATCAACACTAAGGATGCCATTATGTATTTTCTGTACTGCAACTTGTACAGCTCTATGTAGATTTACACAAGATTCACGTACGGCCACTACTTGAATGAACACAGATGTCCCCTTCGGAGATGGTGTGTTTGCCTTCTCTCACCCTTTTGCACTCACGCACAGAAATGCAAAATAAATGGAAGAGAAGCTGCAACCCAAAGTAAGAAAAAGTTCAAAGTTACACTCTGCGCTGCTACAGATTCTTGCAAACCACAAACGTTACAAAAGCCAAGCAGTGTCATTTTGGGAGCACCTGCCCGGTGTTCAGGAAGAAAAATAACACATTCTTCCACCCTGCTCCATCCTTCCCCTTTTATCCCACAGGAGAAGCCGCTTGATTACTTTACAAGGAGCTTCCCGTCTGCCTACTTGCTTCTGTTTTGAGACCTGAAAGCAAGCTGCCTGCCACTGAATTACTAAAGAGGTGAAATAGCAAAGGTAGGTTTTGCAATTTAATCTGAACACAGAGCAGCGCTTAGTGCTGCGGCTGTGCCTAGATCCTGATGGGAGGAAGAGGTTGGGCTGCGCTCGGCGATGGGTCCTGCTCCATCCATCACTGGAGAGCCAACGGGGCATGCACCCAGGACTTCTCAGAGGAGAGGGCCAGCAAGAACACCCCGGTAGAGCGCCAGCAGTGTGAGCTGTCACCGCACCGTACCCCACCACCGGAGCCCTGTGAGAGGGAAAGAAGGGCTGGCAGCAGGCCACGGCATGCCCTCCTCCCCTCCCAAATGGCACTTGTCTCCCTTCCAACGCAGCACCTGAGGCAGCGCACACGTGGGGCTGGTGTGACCCCGCAAAAGCAAAGAGTTTGGGAGGAAACAAGGCTGCCTGCACTTCTTCACAGCCCAGCTACCTCTGTGGGGCAAGGCACCTCAGGAGAAGGCTTTTGCCCTGACAAAGATCATCTGGAGGTACATCAGGGGAAGAAAAAAGAAGTGACCAGGGAAGAAAAAAGCAATTCACGCACACTTGTGCACTCCTAACAGCCCGTGAAAATCTTACCTACCACAGCCAGCTTCATTAAACAGCAAGTCTTCCTAACATTAAAATATAGGGGTGCAAAGGGGACTCAGCATAGGGAAAGCTTCAAACCATGCCACCCAGCCTGCAGTGAGGGCCACAAGTTTCAAGTACGCTAGCTGCTCTTGTCACTTACTGACACTGGTGTAATCTTGCAACGTCCCACGCACGCACCCCAACTGAAGTGGAGGTGCCTGCACATTTGGAAACGGCAAGGAAATTTAAAATGAGCATGGCTTCCTTCATTTGCCCTCACATGACAGCATTGCGCCATGCCCTCAGCATACGGTTAAAGCTCCTCACGCCATCAGAGAGGACTACAAACTCACAGTACGATGCTTCCTCATGCACATTGGCATTTAGTTTGGCCCTTCACTTAACGTTTGCCCTTTTGAGGCTTCCAAACTAAGGGAACGGAGAAAATAAGACGCACAGTTCTCACAGCTGTTTTCAACGCTGAAAGCCTTACTAGCGGGTTTGACATCAGCACCGCCAACGTGAACATGAGAGACCCACCGCGCGTCCAGGAATTGCCCCGACAGCAGCAGCGCAGCCAGCGGCCCATGCTCCGAGCACGCTGGTCCCCCTCCGTGTGCACACACACGGACGACAATGCCAGTTGTCACAGACCCCCGAGGGGGGAGCGACAGCTCTGCCCAGGCTCCCTCCGTCTCCGACAAAGAGGCGAGCCCAGCTTCTCCCACCAAGGAGAAAATTGCAGGTGGAAGGCAAGTGCTTGCGGAGGGAAACCCAGGGCAGCTCTCCCGAATATGAGAGGCGAGCAGGGGGCAGGTGCTGGGGAACAACCCCCCTCCGGGGCAGGGCGCAGGCGGGCGG